TCAAAGTCATTCTCGTTGCATAGTGGTGTACCAAAAACCAATCTTCCATAGTTTTGTGGAACTTGCTGACCCATGAACTCCCATGCTGTGATTCTGACTTCCTCAGGAATGTCTTGTCCAGGAATAAATGTTGGACCTTTCTCCTTCATGACATGGTTCCATGTTGTGTTGGTGTGCCATGAACCACCTGTAACTGATGGAGGTAGAGAGTGACCACGTCCTTGATGAACAACGTTACATGCAATGGTAGGGAGTTGTTCCTTGACATGGAGGTACTGGAAGGGAATGTCACCATGAAATAAAATGACACCATTCTTTGTCAGATAGAGTTGGTTGTCCACAATAAAACTTGGATCCAACACGAGGTACACTGATCGCCTATAGTTTCTTGGAGGCTTCGTGCCCTCTGCCATCCTTATGTAGCCCTGACCATTGTCATTGTGGTACATGAAGTGAACTGCATCCCTTCTGCCTTTTCCACTTCCTTTCACAAAGGTCTTCAGGCCTGATTGTTGAATGGAATCTAAATTCATGTAATCAGTGACATGAAAAATCCAGCCCAAACTCATAGCCTCATCATATGTCAGTTGGTGGTGTGCCACAGTGGGATCGACAACTTGGTTGCTATGTCCTTGAAAAGCACCAAGACGAACGTCGAATGGATACTCTGCCATTGAGCTATATGGGTACCACTGCCATCTCATGGAGATCTCAACAAAGAAACGTTGTTTTGGATTACACAGTAACATAGCAGCAAAATCTGCTCCAGACATGTGATATTCCTTTGGATTGTCTCCTTGCATCTGATCAAACAGTAAGGAAATGTTCATAGCTCCACTGGCAGTGAATAACGTTTTGTCTCTGCAATGTCTCAACACATTGGATAGCTTCTTGCTGCATGACATATAATAACTTCTCCTTTGTGAGCTAGTCATGTCCACGTGGAAATCATTGCATCGTTCATCAAACCAGTTTTCTTCTGCCTGAGTTGTAAAGCCACAGAGATACTTCAGAAAACTTGAAGTCCATTTCAAAGATTCATCAAATTCTCCATGACTAGTTCCCCAGTGCAAAATCCAAGCTATTGCGTCCATGAACATTTCATGTCTGTCAGTTGGTCTCATGTTGTGTGGACCCATCAATGTATGTAAATTGCGCTCTCTCTTCTTCCTCACTTGCTCGTGAGCCTGAAACCAATCTGTTTGGCGCCTGTAATCATAGCAAAATGATAAATGATCCTCATCGGGTAATGTCGATGGTGTTCGAAATTGGTCAGCTGGGATTTCCTCTGATCTTCTCAGAGCATATCCATCAGCTGAATGTCTTCGACTAAAATCATAGCCTTGATGTTCTTGACCTCGAGTGTTCGATTGTGCCTGATCACTAGATGCTGCGGCTGAGGCCCTGTTCCACCGGCTAGAGCTCGACATGTTGAAGAAACAGTGCGATCCTCGAGACTCTGCCTTTTGAGCCGCAGGCACAAATTCAAAAAATAGTCAAGAATCCCTCAAGGGGTCACCTAACAGAAATACATCATGTCTGAAATCAACATGACTGCAAACTGTTGGCAACCATGACCTGAGGTAAGCTTTGTGTTCCAGTAATGATCTGAATGGTGGATGAGCATCAACTTCTTTAAGAACACCTTGTCGAACAGCATCAATAAGATTCTGAGGATTAGCAGACTTCTTGGTCAAACAATCGGCTAAACACCATTGAGTTCTGATATGTGACAAGTCAGCAATGGAACCTGAACATGCTTCCTTCCTAAGCATCTGAATCATATGAATGGTCTCTTGTTGTTCAGGAACATGAGTAGTGCTGGCAGTAGTCACAAGATTGTTTGCATCAGTCCTCATATGAATCTCACTTGAAAGTCCAGTGATGTCCTTGATCAGTCCTCTCAACATTTGACATGTACCATAACACTTCATGAGTGCATACAACTCTGCAACAGTTGTGCTCAACGTGGTACGTTTGATTTTGGTTGATTCAAAGAAAATAAGAGAACCTCTGGTGTTTTTGCTCTTTTCCTTTCTCGGTTCAGCCATGAAAATAACCATCGCGCGCTGTGAGGATTTGTCGCTGTTGTTCCTAAACGCTGCATCGGGCATTGCAACTAATCTAGGATCACCTTGAAGTGGCCAGAACATAAGTTCCATCGGGTCACCTACAATTTGCCTGCAAAGTTTGTTCAGCGTTTTGCAATCACCTATGGTGGGGGAAGCAGCGGCAGAAGCACAACGTGAAAACTGATAACACGACTGAAATTGAGTTCTTGATTGTAACCAATTGATACTACCTATGAGTGATCTGTAGGCAGTGTGGAGATCCTTGTCACATTTGTCTTCATCCTTCAAACCCTTTGGTATGACAACCTCAGTAAGTTCACTGACGCAAAGTGATTGTTCAACAGTAATGTGTGATTTCTTCTTGGTCTTCTCATCAATGATCCATTTCACACGTTGACCAGTGAACATCAAGTCATTTACATCTTCATGACCAATCTTGAATTGTGACTTGACAACTTTCTTGAACTTCTCCAGAAACTCTGGAGTTCCAGTAATGAACAAGTCGTCAACATGCAAACAACACATGCCAATAGGTTTTCTTCCCTTGGCATTACTGCCATTCACAGGGTCCATGAAGTGTTCCAAGAGTTGTTCAACAATCTCAGGTGTCAACTGTGGTGTCGTGGCAAGATAAGTACGCTCTGAAGGTAAGAAGACTGAAACAAGTACTTCAGCTTCTTCTTCCAAACTTATGGAAACATTGTCCTTGTTCATGTCATGATTCATCTCAAGCAACCACCAAACTCCTTTCCTCTTCACAATAGAAGTTCTCAAGTGAAACTTCTTTCGATCATAATGTGAATCAGGAGTTCTCAAAGCTTTTGCACGATAAGCAACTTGAGCATGACCATTTTCAAAAGGATACCAACCAGACTTGTGTTCAACAGATTCCAAAAACTTCAACAAAGTTTCATCAACAACAGGAGTCCAAGCACAATCTTCAACCTTCTTCTCCTTGAACTCTTTCCTCTGTTTCCATGTTTGGGTTTGTTGATAGCAAGCTGAAAACAATCTTTCTTCAACCAAAAGAGACTTATGAACTTCCTCAGCAATGTCGGAGGATTCATCACGCGTTTCCTCACCGTCTTGTGAGCTTACGTAGTATGTCACAGGTGCTGGTTCTGTTGCCTCAGAGTCAGCAAAGCTAACCTGTTTTGGCTCCTTAAAAGCACCATCATAGCATACATATGTACACCTGTCAGCTCTTGTTGGTTGAATACCAAGCGAAATCAGAAATTTGTCAAGGCGGTTCCACCATCTACGTGGTGCGTCCGCAAGTCCATAGACGGAACGAGTGCACAAACCAACCAAGTAAGGAGGCAAACCAATGTCAGTAGGCAACTGAACATGGATAACGCGGCGGTCTAAGTCGTATGTTTCCCCCTGAAGGAAGGCAGTTTTCAAGTCTAAATGGAGTAAATCCCAGTACATCGAGGCTGCATGCTGAGATGCCACACGAAAACCATACCTGGTAGCAGTAGGACTGTCAGTCTGTAAGTCATACTTTTGAGCATCTTGAAAGCCTCTACATACCCATCTAGCCTTGAACTTCTTGAACTGTCCATCCTTATCAACCTTGATGGTAAGCACCCATCTGCCAGTGACATAGTTATCAATCTTATGACGTCTCTTGTCTCTGAAAGTCATGGCAGTGAAATCCAGAAAACTTCTGAATTCTTCAAGCTTGGCTTGTTTGATCTCCTTAGCATACTTTCTCAAGACTTCTTGAGTGATAACTGATTCTGCCTTTGGCTGCTTCTTTCCATTCTTGGCAAGATACTGTTCCAACCACAACCAACCACAACCAACCACAACCAACCACAACCAACCACAACCAACCACAACCAACCACAACCAACCACAACCAACCACAACCAACAACAACCAACCACAACCAACCACAACCAACCAACCAACCACAACCAACCACAACCAACCACAACCAACCACAACCAACCACAACCAACCACAACCAACCACAACCAACCACAACCAACCACAACCAACCACAACAACCACAACCAACCACAACCAACCACAACCAACCACAACCAACCACAACCAACCACAACCAACCACAACCAACCACAACCAACCACAACCAACCACAACCAACCACAACCAACCACAACCAACCACAACCAACAACCAAACAACCACAACCAACCACAACCAACCACAACCAACCACAACCAACCACAACCAACCACAACCAACCACAACCAACCACAACCAACCACAACCAACCACAACACAACCACAACCAACCACAACCAACCACAACCAACCACAACCAACCACAACCAACCACAACCAACCACAACCAACCACAACCAACCACAACCAACCACAACCAACCACAACCAACCACAACCAACCACAACCAACCACAACCAACAACAACCAACAACCACAACCAACCACAACCAACCACAACCAACCACAACCACCACAACAACAACAACAACAACCACCACCACCAACAACAACAACAACGACAACGACAACGACAACAACGACAACAACGACAACAACGACGACAACGACGACAACGACGACAACAACAACAACAACAACAACAACAACAACAACAACCACAACAACATCAACAACAACAACCACAACAACAACAACCACAACAACAACAACCACAACGACAACGACAACGACAACGGCAACGGCAACGACAACGACAACGGCAGCAACAACAGCAACGGCAACAGCAACAGCAACCCATGTGCCACAACATTCCATCTTGTGCTGCAACCTGTTTGCTACCTGCCCAAAGAGGCCACGGACGCCTCCATCCCAACGGGCATCGCCGGTGCGCAAAGCTCTACAATGATACTGGTAATATGTAATAATCTATGTTTCTATATGTTTGCTGCGCAGCACGGCCAAGGGATTGCAGAAGCTAAATGGGGTCACCGTCACATAGACCGGAATCACGTAGTCATTCTGGTCAGGCCCGTCCTGGCGTGGAACAGCCGTCCAAGGACAACTCGACTGTGGGTCGGAAAATGGGAGCCCTCAAAATGGCATGTGAATAGAAAAATATGAGAAAAAGTATTAGAAAATAACGAGTGATCAATGGATTTAGGGTGTTCCCAAAAATCTTCAGACAAAGCCCTGTTCTTCCACAACTTGCCCCACCTTAACGGCTGGGTTCATCCCCAGTGGGCCGATGGCAGAAGGGACCTGGGAAGGCTGTGCTGATCCTTATGCTGATGCAGCTACTGATGATGCAGCTAACTATGCAGCTACTCGTCTTATGTTCAGGGACTATCAAGCCGCTATGCAGATCATTAAGAGGATGTGTTACACTATCCTGAAAATCCCATCGCCCTCATATTCTTCATATCCCCCACTCTCTCAACCCTGGTGCATGGAACAGCTGCATCCAGGTCACGCTGCACGGCAGCGATTGCAGTGTCAAGGCATCCGGTAGTCCCTCGCGAAAAACCAGCAGCCACAGGCTGGTGGGGTATTGGCATTGGGCCATTGGGGCATCGCCACAAATCAGCACAGATGGCCTTGATTTCCAGTAGACTCAGTAAACCCCCCCAAAACCTCACCATGTCGCTGGGTTCCCAGACGAAGGTCATCAATGGGCCCTCGGGGGCAACCATTGATGTAATATAAAGCCAACCATGAACAGCAGCTCATTTGTCAATTTGGATCCATTTGGGAGTTTGAATCTCAAAAAGAATGGTAGATTTGTTAATGTTTGACTTTACCACATAATATCTGGATGGTCAAGAAGTCGCAACTTGGATGGGGCACATGAGTTGTTTACCGTCAGTCAAACATGGATGGTCCAAGTCCAAGACCTTAAAAAAGTGGTTGAGGATTCCATTTACCGTCCAGTAATCAAACATGGCTAGTTGGGAAATCCCCGAACTTCATGGAGGTTTATAGCTGGGAAATCATGTACAAATTGTGGATGTTCCAGCAAGCCATCTTTGATTGCCAGAGGGTACCCTCTGGTAATTTAACATAGCTATTGAAAATGGTGATTTATAGTGGATTGTTCCATTGAAAATTGTGATTTTCCATAGCTATGTTAGTTTACCAGAGGGTATTCAATTAAAGTTGCTCTTCATCAAAGCCTTTCAGGTGGTGACACTGTAGTCTTGCGTTCATCCCGATTCATCCCGATATCCTCATCACATTGGGCTTTTCTGAAATAATGTGGCATCCCCAAGTCACCAAGTCACCATGGCTTGAATCAGCTTGAAAAATACTAAGTCATGGCAGTCATGGCCTCATAATTTTGGAGGATTTGGGGGTATCCCCATGACCAATGACCCAATCAACGGTGCCGGCGCACCGCAGGAGAGCTGGGAGGCGACCTTGGAGCTCATGGGATTTACCAGGTGAAATTGAATGATGTTACCCTCTGGTAATTTAACATAGCTATTGAAAATGACCATATATAGTGGATTCTCCCATTAAAAATGGTGATTTTCCATAGCTATGTTAGTTTAACGGAGGGTAACATACTTGGAAAAAATGACACAAAATGCACACATGTTGCTGCGTGGTAGCAATCCACTGGGCACCGACGGCGTCTTCGACCACTTCTGCTTCGGTGTAGGCACGTAGCTCATCTGGCCCCCCTCCAGAGGTGACAGTTGGCACAATATTCAACGGTCTGCTTAAAGGAAAAATCTTCGAAATCGTGGTTTTTGCCACCGATTACAGGGGGTCCTGTAGATGTTCCTTTCCAATCCAATATAATCCAATATAATCCAATATAATCCAATGAGATATTGTCTAAACTCCAATGGTGAAGACTGATGGCATGAGATTCCGCCAATAACCTTACATCGTGAAGAAGCAAGCACCAGTTTTGATGATGCTAGGATCTTCCAAAAGGAGTCATAGGCCACTCAAGCCTCTCTTACAGTATGGCTTAGGAAACGAACCGTGAACCGGGAACCGAACCGTTCAGGAACCGGCAGGCTAAGAACCGGCACGAACCGAACCGCCAAGTATTCTTATGCAAACCGAATGGAACCGAACCGGTTCCCAGTATGGCTTAGGAAACAAACCGTGAACCGAACCGTTCAGGAACCGGCAGGCGGCTAAGAACCGGCACGAACCGAACCGCCAAGTATTCTTATGCAAACCGAATGGAACCGAACCGGTTCCACATTCTCAAAAAATTAATTTTGTCAGCTTCCGGGGGGTCCGAAAATGATTTTCGCGACTTGAAAATCAAATTGGAAAGAGGAATCAACTGTAATGAGTGGATTCCTGCGCAACACAATCTGCCAAAGTGCAGCAGGAATTGCAAATGATCAGTGCTGGCTGCTACTACTGCTACTACTACTACTACTCCTACTACTACTACTACTACTACTACCACTACCACTACCACTACCACTACCACTACCACTACCACTACCACTACCACTACCACTACCACTACCACTACCACTACCACTACTACTACTACTACCACTACCACTACCACTACCACTACCACTACCACTACCACTACCACTACCACTACCACTACGACTACTACTACTACTACTACTACTTTTTTTCCTCTTTTTGCCAAAACAACTCCGAAAATGATTTTCGCGCAGTGGAAATCAAGTTAAGGAAAACACCTAATAGTTAAGGAAAACACGAAAATTCGCTTTGGTCCTTGTCTGATGTGTGTTGATTTCGATGCTCGGAACTGATTTTCGCACAATGAAAATGATGTTTGGCTAATGTTTGAGATTTGCAGGCACTGCCTCAATTTCGATGCCTGAAAACGACTTTCGCCATATGAAAATGGCATTTGGCTGCTGATTGAACCTCTGCCGGCCACGGCTGGATTTCGACAGCTGAAAGTGATTTTCGCGCAATGAAAATGCCGTTGGCAATGGATCTGTCAATTTCACTGTAAACTGGTTAGATGTAAGAATTCTAATAGTTGATGATGATAATCATTATCCCCAATCCAAGAAACAGCATAAGCACTTTAGTCATCAACAAACCGTGGTTTTGGACACTGCTTACTTAGATGCTGCAAACACTCGACCCCACCATCAGTTTCAAACATTCAAAAACAAAATCCCTCTGCTGCAACATAACATTACTATTTCTGTCAAAGACCTCTCGTCCTGCAACACTACACAACACGAACCGAACCGAACCGAACAGCCATGTCACACGAACCGAAACGAACCGGCACACGGATGAACCGAACCGCCCGTGTTTGAGGTTTCCACGAACCGAAACGAACCTAAACGAACCGAAGCCTTCCTGCTCTTAGTTTTAATCCTGTAGAATCATGGTTTCCTGATTCCTGTTCCTAATGATCCTAATGGACGGTGATATTCCGCAATGTATTGCTTCGTATAATTCCCCAACCAATCATCAACCAACCGGGGTTTTGAACACGACCGGCGCCATGGCACCCACCTTGAGCTCGCTGTAACTGACCTCGGAACCGCTGTCCATGTCAGCCCACGCTCGCCTTGGTGAAGTGGAATACGCTTCATCAAGTCTGAGGAGGTTGGGGATGGTTTAATTTGATTATATGCCATAAATATCTATATCTACATTAATCATGATATTATATATTATTATTATTATTACTATTATTATTACTATTATTATTATTGTTATTGTTATTGTTATTGTTGTTATTATTATTATATAATTATATATATATATTATTATATATATTATATTATATTATTATGTTATTATATAAGACTATAAGACTATATTCTCCGTACTGCAGACTTTGCATTGCTTGTGAGACAATAAATTGTGAGAAAAATCCGCAACATGTAAACAAAAAGGTCTTCACACATGCCATCAATTGGTCAATCACTTTGAAAAGGTGGATATCCTCGGTCCCAGGTCCAAAAGGAGAACGGCAGAGTGAGCCACTCCAAACGTTCTGAATCAAAAAACTCTGTGCTCGACATAGCTCGACAGTTGTGCTTCCCGCCTCTGTGACGTACTCTGGGGCAGGTCCAATGATGGTATGGAGGACCAGCGATGCTGCAGCGGGGCGGGTCACCCGGTGGATCAAAATCACCTGATACATTCTTTTCAAAAGGACAGATGCGAATCAAGCCAAGTTCGCAAAATCTTGGAGTTATTGATGGCATTCTATGGTATTGACCACGGTTCGTGGGAATCGTGCCCATCTTTCTTGTCGGTTTAGTTCATCAGAATCCACGGCTCCCAGAAGCGCACGCGCACCTGCGGCTCTGGCCAGGGCACATTTTGCGGCGTGGTGGTCACGTCTTCATCCTCTGGGATAGGAGGTCCAGCCATCCTTGGGTGCAGCATGGTGCAGCCAGTAACCTGGGTCGTTTTGCAAACCCAAATGGGTTGAAAAGTATGGACAAAAACCCACAATCCCATGACTCATCCAATGTTCCATTTTTTCAGCAACTTTTCGGGTATCCCCATTTTCATCATTTTCAGACAATCCCTGACAACCCCAAATATGGCTGGGCCTACCATCGTCCTATGCCTATACCTAAGCTTCACCCTCCACAACTTCCGACGGGTTCCCGGACCAGGGCCGGGACAACGTGGCAGGCCTCGTTGCTCAGTTCAAGCGATTGGTCTTGGTTGGTCCACATCGTCTGAAAATAGGATACCCCTAAATCTAGTGGTTTATGTGGTTTATCATCAGTTCCCCTCTTAAAATTGCCCGAGGGGTATATCCCATTTTCAGACACACGCATCTATTGTATGTACCATCCATTCAGGGGCACCCACATGGCACCAACCATGCCTCACCCTTAGCTCGCCGAGGCACAGTCGTTGACTGCCAGACAGGTGTAATCCCTGCTCGACGCGGAAACCATGGGCCCGACACGGGAGTGTTTTGGTTGAGAAATTTATGCCCCCCATATTTTGATGTGCATAGTTGGAGTATCCCACATTTTGTGGCTGCAGAAGCCAACTCGTTTATGACCCTCAAATGGTGGGATCAAAACCCCCACGAAGAAAACATGTAATAATCCAAAATCAGGAAATGTTCATGTATCATAGTGTGATATGCATGGAATGCGTATGCACATCCCACATTTTTTCCCATGAAAAGTTGGCATTTTCCCATGTTGCCCACCTGCAAGCCAGGTGGAGGCGCTAAGGCTCTGCCACGACCCATGCCGCGGCCCAGGAAGGGGCCCTAAGCGCCGAGGCGTGCAGCCATGACTAGGGCTGGTTGGACTCCCACCCATTGATGTCATTGATGTTGATTTGGGGGATGGTTAATTATTGGCTTTACCACATTACATGTCATCGTCATCGTCATCATCATCATCATCATGATGTAGCAAAATCCACCATTAAATCACCACAATTCCCACGATGACATGTGTATCCGTGGGTTAGGATTCTCTGGATCTTCGCCAGCCACGCGCCTCGGAGAACCTTCCCATGGGTCGACCTGTGCAGACACGGCCGGGCCCTCAGCGGGTTGGATAACCTTTGGAAGCTGGGAAAATTGATGGAGAATTGATGGAAACTTATGGAAAAATCATAGGAAAAATGATGGGAAAAATGATGGAAAATTATAGATCAAGCTAATAGATGATGGAAATCCAGACCTCAATTTGGACTTCCCATCCCTTCGGCCAAGGCCACCTCGACCAAAGCCACGGTTGGCCATTTCAGCACCACCAAGCCCTGGGAAGTCATCCTCATCCTGGCGCTGGGGCCTTGTGGATGGTAATCTGAGAGTTTTAATATTTCATCGAATATACAAATCATATTCAAGTCATGTACAAATCATGTACAAGTACAGCTTTCTCCCCTTGCCCGGCAAGAGTTTTGAAGCTGACATTTTGCAGAGTTCAGCAATTGTCTTGTGGTGAAAATCGGTGCTGCTGCGCGCCTCCTCTTCCGCTGGGGTCTCCTGACTGCAGCGGTCATGAGGGATAAGTTGAAGCTCCTTTCCAAAAGGTCCAGAAGACTCCAGAAAGGTCAGATTGCAAGAGCAGAATACTTTATTTCCATCTCAACCACTGTTTCCTTCCAACACCTTCAGAATGGGTTCAGAATCATCCAAATAATCACAGTGGGTCACCCTTCTACAATCTTCTATGTACCATCTACCCCTGTCCTGCGGCACAGGCGGCTGTGGGGCAGCTTTGACCACAGCTTCGGCACGAGGAATTGCCTTCTCATGGACCCATTCTGGTGCTCATGGAGTCTCAAGGGCACAGTCCGGTGAGCTCTGCTCCCCTTGACAGACACTCCGGAAAGCCGGCCATGCTTGAGTATCTGTTGAACTTCTTCAAAGTTTTAGGTTACTTCAAGGGCAGGGTTGGTGTCGGAAAACGCGAGTCGGAAAATGGAAAATGGATGTTGGGGTCGGAAAACTGGAAATGTTGGTTTCGGAAAACGCACATGTTGATGTCAGCAAACGGGTATGTCGCCCGACGAGAGCATCCAAATTTCGGGTGCTTCAACCCCACGGCGCTGAACCTCTGGCGGCTTCACCTCTTCCGTTTGAATTGGGACTGGACCTGAGGGGCTGCTGCCATTTGCCATGGGAATGGGTCATCTCACCCTGGTACCCTGGCGACTTCTCAAGACCAAATGGACCAAATGTTATTGAGCCATACCCATTTCACTCATTTCAGCTTTTCCCCGAAGGATTTTGAGAGTGGGTGTGGCATTTAGAATCTCATGATTAAAATGTATGCAAGTTCTCGGTTTTATGCTGTTGACCCTTGAGGGATTTCTTTGCCATAGAATTGATGTGATTTTTCTTACACTTGGGCCTTTTTTGTGGGCGAAACTCAAGCACCAGCCACTCCCGATTTGGCTTCCCACAAGGTGCTGTCTCAGTGGTCTCTGGTGCCTCACCATCCAAGTGACTGATCAGCATGCTTCCGCAGTACCAGAAATGCCGCATGATTTCAATTAGGAAACCTGCAAAACTCCCAAAGAACATGGGGATTTCCCAACAAAAATGAAGAGTGGAAAAACTTCAGTCATTGAGAAACCAGCATATCACCCATAATTTCCAGTCTTTGAGTACCCGCATCTGACAACGGCCTTGGGAACGATAGGCTGCTTGGACCTCGGGTTTGGAAGTTCGGAGATAGCGGAAAATATCCGACAAATCTCCAACAATCATTCATGGGATATCAGCAACAAAACTTAGCCAAGAAAGCCTTGGCATGTTGCTGCTGTAAGGACTAACAATGTGTGTGGAAGCTGAGGTATATGTCTCACCGTTTAGCAATGAATGCCTTGAACTATCAGAGAATGTGATGGATTTTGTGTTGAGGGATCGTCTTCAACCAACCAACCTCCAACAATGAGCGGTGGCTCACATCAATATCAGAATTTCGCTCGGTGTTCAGTAATCATGGTGGTTTCATTCTGGAGGGAACCTATGAGGTTACGACGGGCTGCATACATTGGCAGATCAGTCTCAGTTCCGCACATAGCTGCTGGACCCTTCTTGGTGGCAGGCACTGTCACCCCTGCAGCTGCTGCCAAGGCATCCACGTCTTCAACACGAGCCAAAGCCTGATCATTTGGGGTCAATGAAAGTGAGGCCATTGGCCTTGGCTGTGGGACATGACCATGAACTATCAAGAACTTGCATCATTTTGGGGAAATCCAGTGCCTAGCTGTGACCCTTATACACTGGTAGTTGGAGGTAATTCAGACCACGATGATCCATGATGCACAATGCTGCAGCAGCAGTGACAAGTGTCCCTAGATGGTCCAGCTGGAGCACTATGTCACTATAGTGCCGCTTCTTTTTCGCCACAGACCCATGCATTGCCACCTGCCAGCGTCGCCACAGCCAACAATGTGACATGGCACTACCCTGGAAGCGTCAATTCTCAACAACTGAGGCTACCCAACGAAGCTGCTGTGCTGCCTAGGCGGAAACTCTGGAAAATGTCAGCAGAACTGGCTCATCAACGAAGCAGCGCAATATCTCCGCAAGACTTGGATAAACATCGTTGCTTCCATGTCACGAGTCTCGGTCAGCAGCTACAGTACATCCCAGCTGCCAAGTGACATGGGATTGCCCATTCCCAGCTGCCCAATGCATGGGCCTAGGCAGGTTGACTCTCCACCCATATTGTTGACCCCTATCACAGCTGTCACAGCTGTCACAGCTGTCACAGCTGTCACAGCTGTCACAGCCCCAGGCCACCTAAAAAGAAAGCATGAGCAAGATGAAGAACAAAAAGGTTTGACTATCTTAAACTACCTTCAACTATATTAATCAAACATCATCAAAGAATTAAAGTATCTGAAACTCGTGTCTCTCACTTTGGGCCCCTAGATGCTCCCATCGCACAAGCACACCAGCCACCAGCCCTGTCATCCAGGCCACAGAAGCCCTGAGGAGTCCTCAGCCCACGCAGAGGCGCCCAAGGTCAAGAGATGAGACCTGAGAGGACCATCCAACGAAAAAAAAAAACAGCATTTCTTAGAGGTAAATCATGGTAAATCATCGAACTAAAATAACAAATGATATATGGCCATGGTCTATGGCTATTGCAAATTTCCGAAGGGTTTAGAGATGGGAAATATTGGAACATCAACCATTTCGAGATTGATCTCCGAGGAAACTGATGACATCTGTAACCAAGACACAGCATGTCCATGCGCCCATTGGCAGCTGCCCAGTGAATGGCTTGACCTTGGCAAGTCATGACTTAGTCGCCTAGTAAATTACACCAATTTCTCGGTATGATTTGAAGTCACCATCAGAACTGAGCATGTCGGCAGATGGTAAGACTGGTAAGACTGGTAAAACATGCCTTGATTTAAAGTTGTTTCATGTTGTTTTTGTCTTTTTCTCCATCAAGGCGGTGCCCCACTTTGGGGCTTTGGGCTTCAAATTTGGGGCACACAATTCTACATCATCTACATCCCCCCGTCAGCTGACACTTTTGTTCAACCAACGACGGGATGCCTGGCGGCCAGCTTGCTGCGTGCTGAAAACCAGCATGATTTTCGCAGCTGTGGCGCAGTTCGTTAGCATTGGGTCCACACTTCATGTACTTTACCCTCGGGAAACTAAGGTGCTAGGCTGCTAGATTATCTAAAAAATGTATCATGATGCAAAAACATCTGAAGATATCCAAAGTTATCTAAATGATAATTTGTTTCTCCAAAGGCACACCTTGGATTTCACACTCTGTGCCTCGTTTGGGCCTCAGCCAGCCTTTTTCATTTCTTCGTGTAGGAGATGGAAGAGTTCATGACCTGAGGCAATGATTTGTTTGGCCGCGCATCAAAAACATCAAAAGACCAAGGGAAAAACTCGCCACACAAATATGCTCAACAAATTGGTTTCACAAACAAATCAGGAACCAAAACGAAACATCAAATCGAATCAACTTATGGATTTATCTGAAGGAAGTCGGAAGATAGGGTACCCCAAAGCCCCATGGATTAATATCATCAGTATCCCCTTTAGATGTTTTACAAATCGGTGGCAAATCCCCCATTTTCAGACCCAACTATCATAACTATCATCTTTTGCTGGTTTGCATGTCCCATACCCTTTGGTAAACTAACATAGCTATGGAAAATCACTAGTTTTAATGGGTAAATCCACTATAAATGGCAATTTTCAAGGTATCATATTCCATCAGATCCTCATTCTTCATCCCCATGATATAATGCCATGTCCCTAGTCCTTAAGCTGGTGACTGGTGTTTGTTCATCCCATCCCATCGAATCCTGTCAATTCCCTCCTGGTTGAGCCACCCTCAGTGGCAAAGCCGCGGCAATCCAGGGATGCAAAAAAAAGAGTCCCAACCATCCAATTCCATGTTATATCATGTTATATATCCCCATTTCCCACGTTGTATCACCTTACATCATATATACAATACAGTACATGGTCAATCAACGGTTAATCCATATCATCAATCCACATCCCATTCATCCCCAAATTCACATTGATCCCCATGAATACCATCATATCCCATTAGATCAATTATCCCAAAAACACAAAAAACAACATTGAAAATCCCTATGTTTTGTCCATCAAATCATGATCCCCGATTGGTCCCTACCTCGTTGCGCTTGGCCACCGCAGAGCTGCACACAGCGAGCTTCCGTGCAGCGCACCTCACGACGCGCCCGGTGGTTTCACGAGTTTCGCAGGGAAAAGGCCTACGAAACAGTCTAGACGTACAATGATTTATGAGGAAATCACCCCAAAAACATGATTTTAGCACCAAGGATCGGGAGTTTCAGCAGCAAGAATGGGGAAATAACCATCAAAATGTCGATGTTCACCTAAGGGAAAATATGGAAAAATTGTCATTTATGGGGAATGTTGATGGTTCATAGAGTTCTTCATGGATTTAAAATTCATCCTGCTCCCATTGATAATCTCAAATGTTGGCAGCAAAAACTCAGCTACATTGGATATCTATATATATATATATGATCAGAATAAAAATTGAATGCTTTTTTGGGGTTCGACACAAACCATTCCCAATAGACCTGATGATTACTAGGTTCCAGCAGCTGGATCAACCGGTCGGTGGTTTCAAAGATGCGGATAAAATCATGATACCATCAACTACAATGATCTTCTTGGGTGTTTTAGCTCCGCATAAGATGGCCACCGCAAAAGATGTCATACAATGAATATTTTTGAGAGAGAGAGAGTTGGCTAAACAACATCCTTCAAGTACTACCCGGTTAAAACAATTTTCATATGATTAGCAGTGAAAGCCGTTGACCTGCACATCACTACAGGACTGCCAATGGGTGGAACCAATGCAGCTTCCACGGAGTCACCAGTTTCCAACCTGCCATCACCAAGTGACCAACATCTGCCCAGTAAAGTTTGAAGGAATCTCCTCTAAAACATCTCGGAAGGCACCATCGGCCAGCTCCTCCAACCACAACCTGCGAAGTCGCGATTCTGTGATTCTGTCGGTCGGAGGAAGTGAGAAGATGCACAAAAGGAGAGGCAATAAAATGATTCCTGGTGTCGTGTGTGATCGTAGCAATCATTGTGCTTGTCTTCATCTCATCTCCGTCTTTTCGCGGTTGCTGCTTCTATTCCTCTTTGCAACACACTTCGTCGCCCCCAAGGAAGCCAGCACTGCGTTCCGCCCTTGCAGTTTTATATTTGCCTAAGGGAAAAAACAAACACATCCACAAAAATGGAAAAAAATCAAAATGGCTGGGTCAGGCTGGGTCCCACATGGATCCATTTCTTAACATCTCAGCTCGCCTCACCGCCTCAGGGCTCCAGGATTTAGGGTGCGGCAGCCGCAGCCGGCGCGGCGCTTCGATGACCTGTTTCCTCTCCCGCTCGTAGCCGCAGCTGCAAAGCGACACCTCAAGGCGCCAAGGAGCCGGGCAAATCATTCTCCAAATCCATGGGCGAGGCAATCCATAACTCAGATTGGATGAACAGAGAAGTTACAAACACCACAGCCTTCACCTTTCTCCATTCAGAGCTTGTCTGTGGTCGAAACTCCAATATTCGGGGGGGGTCAGGATCGTCCCATTCTTGATGCAGGTCCCATTGATTGGCCTGGTATAACCTCACATAACGAATCATCGTTTGAAATCAGATCCCCATGCTGCAGATGAAATCCTCAGTTCAGAAATACAGGTGACCTCTTTCTGGCCCAAGAAACACCAGTGCGTAGCGTGGACAAGGTATGCTCCGTGTCTGACACACAGGGCGAGGCCGTGCAAACCACCTCGCAAATCGCAAATCACAGGTGTCACAGGATTTTGGGCAATTCTATGAAGGCCATGGATGTTCATCCCCCCCCAAAAAAAAGGTTCGATAGTTCCTGACCCATCCACTGATTTGTTAACCTGTGGTCAGATGTCTGCATCACATCATTTGGATAGGAATAATTTTGGATATGTTTCGCAAGTCCCAAAAGATAGAGAAAGCTAAAATCCGACCGAAATAGTGGTAAATTATTGTTCCATCTTACAACTATAGTGGTAGATAGCGGTAAATTGAGGGTTCTATATTATATATATATATATTACTGTATCTTTTTGGGTAGCTATGTATAGTACATACCTATAACATGTGTATAACCATCTCCACTCTCCACTGTCAACCTCTGGGACCCATCTACCAAGGTGCTGCGAGGCGGGCGTCCCTGGGGCGGAGAAAGGATTCGGCTAAGATCTTGGTCCTCGAAGCGAAACAGCTGGAAATGGGATGGATATGACGCCAACCAAACGGAGAAAAAACTCAACAAATACCTACATATATATCTATATACACATAGTTATATGTATATAGTTATATGTATATAGCTATATGTATATACTTATATGCACGTAGTTATATGTATATAGTTTTATGTATATAGTTATATGTATATACTTATATGTATAGAGTTATATGTGTATGGTTATATGATAGTTGTTTGTACGTACGTACATACATACGTACGTACGTACGTACGTAGGTATGTATGTACGTATGTAATGTATGTAATGTATGTAATGTATGTAATGTATGTAATGTATGTAATGTATGTAATGTATGTAATGTATGTAATGTATGTAATGTATGTATTGTATTGTATTGTATTGTATTGTATTATATTGTATTGTATTGTATTGTATTGTTATGTTATGTTATGTTATGTTATGTATGTATGTATGTATGGCTGTATGTGTGTGTGTGCGTGTATGTATGTGTAGGTATACCTAATTTAGGTGTGCGTATGTATATATATATATATATTCACATACATATTTTGCATTGTAGACCTAGATATACATAGTTGGGATTAGACTTATAATTATCACATTGTCATAATCAAATGATTGGGATTGTAATTGTTGAGACTATATCACTTGATTGGGATTACAATCCACCGATCTTCAACCTGAATCAGGCGGATATATTCCAAACAAGAATCCTAATAAGATCCTAATAATATCAATAATCATCACAATCAAGGATTGAACATCGGATAACAATAGTGCCTTTTAAGGAAATTGCCTAGCTGACAAATGATCTGAAGTCATTGCGCTAAAGGTGGGAGGTTGGCAAAGAACCATCCATCCATATGCCAAGTCGCAATGAGGAGGCTCTGAGCACATGCGAAGGAACCGAGTTCTGCGTGGTGAAGTGTCGGATGCACTCCTGTGATTGCGAAATTACCGATCATCCAGGCTGACCAACAGTTAAGTCCTCCCGGAGAAAAATGCACATAACAGTGCAACGTAGTGCAACGCGTAGCTTTCATATTTAAAAAACATGCCAAAGAAATCAGATAAATAAGGTCCTTCAGCGCGTGCAGGGAAGCGTTGATTTCAGCTCCCTCCTGCTGTCGTTCCTTGGAATGGTACATGGCATCCTTCCGCCTCTCCGTTCCGGCGCAGTCGATCAATAGCAGCTGACCTGGCTGGGGTGAAGCAGTGCCACTGAGATTTTGAGCGATTTTGGACAGCACTGGGCAGCCCAGCCCCTGTGATCCCTGTGGTTTTTGAAGCGAAAAGGCTACCAGGTAGCCATGGTAGCCATGAGCCTCCAGACTGCAGGCGCAGCATACACACTGCATGGCTTCGGGAGCTCACATCATTCGCCTGCCGCACAGATCTGGGAAAATGGCACCGAAGGACTCCATGAATTTTCATGGGAAAGTCATGAAAATTTCAGCATCTGCTCAAATGGATAGAATCAGATAGAATCAGATATAGGAATGGATCAAAAAATAGATGAATCATGATGACATATGATGACGATGTTTTTCGTTGGCGGAATGACCCACCTCAGTGGCCGAGGTGGCACGACAGGCGTGGGCCCGGCGCATCCAGGTGCTCAAGTCCTCCGAAGTGCTGGGAAACATCACCAGGGCGCCATCTGCCAGGTAGGTGCCATCCTTGTTCTCACCTTGGTGGAAAACCCTGTTTTTTTGGCTGGGCAACTGGGAAAATTTTAGGGGAAAGAAACAACCATATTTTCCGCAATGGAAACTATATAAGTTTATCTCCCTTTCTTGAATCTGCCCATGTTTGCTGGATTTCATGATCCCACGGTTCATTACAAAAAAACATCTCCATTCTATGGTCACTTAAATATATGTGTTCACCCCTACATCCACCATGGTTTTCGGGTGGCGTTTAATATTGGGGGGATGGGATTACCAACTGAGCAGTGTTCAAAACCCGTGTTGGCTGATCAGTTCGGGAGGTATACCTAGTAGTTACACTATCCAAATCTATCCAATATCTTGGAAGTTATATGAAGTTATATCTCATTGCTAATCATCCAATATACCCTCTGGTAAATTAACATAGACCCTGGCAGTCATCGGGGTTGGAAGACTAGTTTCCAATTAAAAATATGGGTGATTTTCAGGGTCCACAAGTTTATTTACCAGAGGCTATCAGATCATGTTATATCATGTTATATCATGTTATATCTCATTGCTAATCATCCAATATATCATTGTTATATCATGACACACCATCCAACTGATACAACTGGGACCATTAAAAATGGGTGATTATGCTCATCATCCCACTGGGTCCAGGAAGACCCAGGTGTCGTCTTTCCGCCAAGCCACGCAGCCGCAGCTCCGGCGCTGGCTCACCTCTGCGGCTGGCCGCCGTCCGTGTGTCCCTGGCCGCAGCGGCGGGCACCTGGGCAGGGTCCTGGTGCTGAGCAGGGTAGGGGGTTGTAAGGGAACAAAACTGGAAAAACGTATGGTATCATATAGTTATCCTAGGGCAATCCCGTCTTTTTACAGACCGCACCCCCTACAATACAATAGATTTTAAAGCGGTCAATACAAAAAGATGGGATTGCTTTACCTTATAGATAATAACATAATCAACAACAAAATCATAACAAACAAATAAAACGAAAAAAACAAAACAACATAAGCAATACAATAGATTATAAAATAGACTATACCAAAAACCATAACAACAAACCAAAACAAAAGACAATTTCACTTTTATAAAAAGAAATTTAACTATCATTCTTCTTCAAATTCTCCTCATGCTTCAAAGTGTTTGTGTGCCTCTTGTAATTTTGAGTTTGAATTTCATAATCATCACTTCAAATTTATGGGGATAACCAACATAATTTTCATAATCATTTACTATGAAGATTAAGGGATTAATTACCACAGTCTCCCCCTATAGGGGAAGCCTCAGCCCCCAGCCAATATCTTTCTCAACATATCTCTTTAAATTACCGCAATTACCATGCCCAAACCGCCCTTCATGAACTTGTTGATAACCATGTCTTCTTAACCTCAGCGCGATGTAAATGGCACAGCGATCCAAACTTTTGGGGCGAAATGGAGTGAAAAAGATTTGTGTGGTGTGCGTCCCAGACTTGTTGGTGCCAGTCTTCTCAAGTTTTTGGAAGGGTTTGTCTTTGTATCAGGCATGAATGCACTGAATGTCAAGCTTGCGAAGGCTCACTGGCATGAATGCTCTATTGAAGCAATGTCCTATTCCTACTTGACACCCTGAAACCTTGCTACCTACAGACCTTGTCAATCATAAAAGCATCTGCTAAGAGCACTATTTTGCAAAGTCGCCCTGTTGGCGAAGCAAGCACGTGCTTTGTAAGTCGCCCTTGGCGAAGCAAGCACTGCTTTGTAAGTCGCCCTGTTGTGGGCGAAGCAAAGAACTGTTTTGCAAGTCATCATGCGTGCTCGATCTCGCCCACTCATGGGTAAGTGGGGGCGTTCCTGCTCTTCTCAGTCTCCTTGCCGAGGTTCTCCGACCGAGGCCAGAAGGGCACTCCGCTCTTCTCAGTCTCCTTGCCGAGGTTCTCCGACCGAGGCCAGAAGGGCACTCCGCTCTTCTCAGTCTCCTTGCCGAGGTTCTCCGACCGAGGCCAGAGGGCAAGGGCACTCCACTCTTCTCAGTCTCCTTGCCGAGGTTCTCGGACCGAGGCCAGAGGGCACTCCGCTCTTCTCAGTCTCCTCGAGGTTCTCCGACCGAGGCCAGAAGGGGCACTCCGCTCTTCTCAGTCTCCTTGCCGAGGTTCTCGACCGAGGCATCCGCTCTTCTCAGTTCCTTGCCGAGGGCCGAGGCTCCGCTCTTCCAGTCTCCTTGCCGAGGTTCTCGACCGAGGCCAGAAGGGCACTCCGCTCTTCTCAGTCTCCTCCGAGGTTCTCCGACCGAGGCAAGGGCACTCTCTTCTCAGTCTCCTTGCCGAGGTTCTCGGTCGCTCTTCTCAGTCTCCTTGAGAGTTCTCGACCGAGGCCAGCACTCCACTCAGTCTCCTTGCCGAGGTTCTCGGACCGAGGCCAAAGGGGAAATCCGCTCTTCTCAGTCTCCTTGCCGAGGTTCTCCGACCGAGGCCAGAAGGGCACTCCGCTCTTCTCAGTCTCCTCGAGGTTCTCCGACCGAGGGAGGAAGGGCACTCCACTCTTCTCAGTCTCCTTGCCGAGGTTCTCGGACCGAGGCCAGCAGGGCACTCCGCTCTTCTCAGTCTCCTCGAGGTTCTCCGACCGAGGCCAAAGGGGAAATCCGCTCTTCTCAGTCTCCTTGCCGAGGTTCTCCGACCGAGGCCAGAAGGGCACTCCGCTCTTCTCAGTCTCCTCGAGGTTCTCCGACCGAGGGAGGAAGGGCACTCCACTCTTCTCAGTCTCCTTGCCGAGGTTCTCGGACCGAGGCCAGAAGGGCACTCCGCTCTTCTCAGTCTCCTCGAGGTTCTCCGACCGAGGGAGGAAGGGCACTCCACTCTTCTCAGTCTCCTTGCCGAGGTTCTCGGACCGAGGCCAGAAGGGCACTCCGCTCTTCTCAGTCTCCTTGCCGAGGTTCTCCGACCGAGGCCAGAAGGGCACTCCGCTCTTCTCAGTCTCCTTGCCGAGGTTCTCGGACCGAGGCCAGAAGGGCACTCCGCTCTTCTCAGTCTCCTCGAGGTTCTCCGACCGAGGGAGGAAGGGCGCTCCACTCTTCTCAGTCTCAATTGGGAGGCCGCGGGGGATGATGATGCCGCCCTTCTCAGTCTCCTCGAGGTTCTCCGACCGAGGGAGGAAGGGCGCTCCACTCTTCTCAGTCTCAATTGGGAGGCCGCGGGGGATGATGATGCCGCCCTTCTCAGTCTCCTCGAGGTTCTCCGACCGAGGGAGGAAGGGCACTCCACTCTTCTCAGTCTCAGTTGGGAGGCCGCGGGGGATGATGATGCCGCCCTTCTCAGTCTCCTCGAGGTTCTCCGACCGAGGGAGGAAGGGCACTCCACTCTTCTCAGTCTCAATCGGGAGGCCGCGGCCGATGATGATGCCGCCCTTCTCAGTCTCCTTGCCGGAGTTCGATCTCCTCTGCCATGACGTTGTCGCAGCTCACGCACAATGCAAGGATGAGGCAAGCGAATACACCGGATTTGAGCGCCATGGCAATGCCGACACCCCTGAGCTAAAAAGCGTCCCTGAGTGGCTTGAGGAAAAACTCGCAAAAACAGCTACGGAAGAACATAAAGATGCTGAAAAATGACACAAGAATCCAAACTCAAACTGAAAGAGCTAATTTCTGTAGCTTTCCATTTGAGAATGTCAAAGGTGCTCAAATTGAAACAAATTCCAAGGTCAAGCTCTCCAAGAACATGTGGCTTCAAACCTCTGAGTGGCATATTCCCAACAGCTGAGCGCCCCGACAACAGGATGAAGAAGAGACTGATGACGAAACCATGGCGGGGCAGAAGGACAAAGGAACATAGAGTAATCCCAGCCAATGACCCAAACGTGCCGAACACAAATTCATGGGGAAAACAAATGAAGGACAAAACACAAAACCCCGAAACCAAAAGAGCACATCAAATCAACCATCTCATGGTTGCATCAAGTAGGCATAAGTATGGGAAAAAATGCTTACAAGGCTTTCTAAAAACACTAAATCTTTAAAAGTTCATGCCTCATCAACAATCTTGGGTAATCAGTTAATTTGTAATATTTTTGGTTCAACTTTTCTGCAACCTCTTGCACAACATAATAACCTTTTAGCCAGTGGGAAGTTCTTTCTTTCTCTGTAATTGCTTTCTTTCTCATTATCTTTACTTTGTCTCCCACCTCTAATGTTGGGTATATTCTTTCTTTCTTTGCCTTTGATGCTACATTCAGCATTGCTCTGAATTCATTTTTATCTTTCCTTGCCTCTTTTGGTGTCATACCTGTAGCGGAATGCTTCATTTTATCATTGTATGTAAGCATTATTTCTAAATTGTAATCAACCCATTGTATGTTTGCCTTACCCTTTTTTTCATCAGCCTCTACTCTTTTAAAAAGCATATCTTTGTATGTGCGTATAAATCTTTCAGCAAATGCTGGGTGTCCTCTAGTCCTGCGTAAGGTTATACCTTCACCTTCCACATAATCTTTAAAGTCTTCACCTGCTATTGCTCTTTCATCATCTGTATAAATCATTTTAGGCTTCTTACCCATTTTCCCTAATGCCTCTTTAGTTGCTTCAAGGACATCTTCACCATTTTTAGTTTTAATTGGAACTACCACCGCAAACTTGCTCAAAACATCAATACACACTAACCCTCTCTGAACTTTTGTTCCTCATCAAAATCATAATACCCCATAAAGAACAAATCAATTTGATAAGTATGATTATTTTTTGGTGCTACAAATGAATTCATCCCTCTTGGCTTTGCTTTCACCTCAACATTTTTCCTAAAGAATTGTTCAACATCTTTCATAGTGATAGTTTTATCTTTCTCTCTGGCATCTTTTAAAGTAGTAGCCTTGCTTCCATATCCGCTTCTATCAAAATAAATATCACTAATAATCTTCTGCTTATTATCAGCCATTATAGAATAAATGATATAATAAAATAATTATATCAATTATTCCTGCTCTTGTTGCTTTAGCCAGTCTTGATGTTTTTTGTTTGCTCGTGTCTTTTCTTGTGGCATTGTGTATAATATTTTCCACATCCACATAAATGTTTTTCTAATAACTTATCCTTAAACTTTTCATAGTTGTCTTGACTTCTTTGTTTAATGATGTCTGGGTTGTTTTTAGCAAATTCCCTCTTTTTTCTGTTCTGTTCATCTTTTGTTTCATTCCAATTTTGTCTTTTTTGGTTTATGTAATGTTCATAATTGTCTTTTCTCCACTCTTCATTTGTCCTTCCAGAAACAATTTTATTTACGCAATCATTGTTTCTTATATGCTCTCCTTCTTGTCTTAGTAGTTCATTTCTACTCTGACACGGAAAATCTTGTAAAAGTTCAATCTTACAGTTTTCTATACCGTATCTATCAAAAATAATATTAACTCTTCTATTACAATCTGCCTTGCCCTTGGTGTATTGGTAATATTTTTCTTTATGTTTGTAAAATCTCTTGCTCAATGATTGGCACGTTGAACCAATATAGCACATATTATAGCCTATATCCACTACCTTATATATTTGTCCCTTTTCATACCTATTCATCTCCTATATACTATCTATAACCATTTTGTCTTTAAAACCATTTTACATTAATATCTTATTTGAAAAGGCGCAATTACACTGAACACACATTGGGATACAGTTGCTTTTATAATGTGCCAGTTCATTATTCACTCTTTGACAACTAATATTTGATGAAACCTTGCCATCTTCAAAATCTATAACCAATGGCTCATTACAATTCTCACACTGGGTATTCATCATATCCATTAAGAAAT